GTTGCTGTTCCAAATGAAAGTTCCTAAGCCATTCTGGGCTGATGCGGTTTCGACAGCCAATTTTTTGATTAACCGCATGCCATCTACAGTGCTTAATGGTGACGTTCCCTACGGTGTTCTTTTTCCTAATAAGCAATTATTTCCATTAGAGCCAAAAGTGTTTTGTAGCACATGCTATGTTCGCGATGTGAGGCCTCATGTCACTAAACTGGATCCAAAGGCGTTAAGGTGTGTCTTTTTGGGATATTCTCGCCTCCAGAAGGGGTATCGGTGCTACCCTCCAGATCTTCACCGATATATGGTCTCGACAGATGTGGTGTTCTCTGAGAACTCGCCATTCTTTTCCTCCTCCCACACTTATCCAAGTCAGGGGGAGGAAGAAGAGTGACTGATATATAAGATCACTTCACCAAGCAAAGAGCAACCAGCGACTCGTGATGTCCCTTCTACTAGTGCCTCTCCTATAGAGCGATTAGATGATAGTGTTTCTTCTGATGTTCCCTCTGCTCCAGCAAAGCCGCCGATTGTTCAAGTCTATTCGAGGAGACAAAAGACCAATGATACATGTCCTGCACCAACTCCTTCGTCATCAGATCCTCCTCCACTCAATACCTCTTTGGAAAGTCTTGACATTCCAATTGCTCTTCGCAAAGGTAAGCGTCAGTGTCAATCAACATATTCCATTGCTAACTTTATGTCCTATGACCATTTATCTCCTGCATCTAGCTCTTTGATTGCCTCTCTAGACTCTATCTCTGTGCCAAAGACAGTTAAAAAGGCCTTGAATCACCCTGGGTGGTATAATGCAATGCTTGAGGAGATCCATGCGCTAGATGAAAATCACACTTGGGATTTGGTAGACTTACCAAAGGGAAAGAAGGCAGTGGGATGCAAATGGGTCTTTGCAGTCAAGGTAAATCCAGATGGTTCTTTGGCTAGGCTTAAGGCTAGACTAGTGGCTAAAGGGTATGCTCAAACTTATGGAGTGGATTATTCAGACACCTTTTCTCCGGTGGCCATACTCACTTCTGTTTGATTATTTATTTCCTTAGCTGCCTCCGAGCATTGGCCTTTACATCAGCTAGAAGTATGATATATTTTTTTGTGGAAGACATGCCAATTATTCAAAATAAAAGCAACTTACATGCCCAGCTGTTCAAATTTCTCATCAACAGAAGGGGCATTGAAACTACGAACAAACTCCCCATATTTAAATGCAATCCTCCACTACAGTAGACAAGGAGACAAATTATGCAATATACAAGCAAGCAGGAGGTGTGTATTTTCCAACACATGTATCAACTTGGCCATGATTTCAATTTCACAAAGAAACAGGCAACTAGTAAGAAACATCAGGAGAGACTCACCAAATCATAAAACAATGCAGAAAGTTTAGTTTATATAGAACTGTGCAATTAAATGCACACAGGGATACACCATGGATTTAAATCTAAGTAGAGAATAAAGCATTACAGAGTGTATTATAGTCATTTCAGATTACTGAGTGTATAGGGCCATTACTCAGCATTGCAAAAACAAATAGAGGCGCGGGACTCAGCAGACAGAGAGATTAATCTGAATAAAGGATCCGCTTGGATTTGGGCCTAGCTTACCACTTAAGAGAAATAAGAGAAGACCCGTCAAACAAACCCAACTAACAAGGATTTCCATCACATTGCGCTGGGGTGAGAAAGAGCAACTAAATAGAGCAGAACATGGTTCACATAACAAACCCAACTAATTAAGGGTTTAATCTTAATTGATTGATCAAATTGGTGGTGGTGATACGACACTAAAGCTGATACATTCTCCTAGTAATATTCACTGCCAGGAACATCAGAGNAAATATATATTTTACAATCTTTATTTTCTTTCATTCTGAATTGTGTAAATAATTTTTTGAATTTTTGTTGTTAATACTAAAATTATTATTACTGACGAATTATACTAATTAATCTTTTTTACTATGCTCATTATTTTGTTATTTCAGCATTATATATGCTTAAATACTTTTTATTTTTTTAATTGATAAATAATATTTATTTATTCTATAGGTAAGTTCATAATACAAATTAAAAAGGGAAAATCATAATATTAAAAAGTTTTAAAAAAATAAAAAGAAGATAAATGTTTATAATTTAGAGGGTAAAATGGGTATTTGACAATCCAAAATTTGGAAAATCTAGTTGAGTGACTTTCTGAGTGCAATAGTCATAGTTCAGTGACTTTATTGTTACAAACGAATGAAAAGTGACTTTAGGAGATAATTAGGGATAGTTGAGTGACCATTTGAGTAATGGACTCGATGTTTCAGTTGCTATCCTAGTTGAGTAGTGACTGTGTTTTCCAATAAAGTGTGTGTCCATGCACAACTTTTGCATTCTCAACCCAAGAATGATCCTTGCAGCATCAGTACACAAGTTGATGCCTTGATGAAAACAAAAGGAGATGATGGTTATCTCTTATCTGGCTTTCAATTTATGAGTAGAAGCGTCACAACTATTGAACTTCAGGAAACTAGATTCCATCTGGTTTACAATCGATCAAAAAGAGACTATTTTTCTTTATTTCTAATAAGTTGATTTGACAGTCATCCGAAATTTCTTTTTTGGCTCTATGGCAATGCAAATATTTGCTAGAAGATAGCTTCCCGAACTCATTGAAACTAATGAGAGTATAAGCATTAGCTTACTCTAGGCAGGGGAATAATTTCTACCATGGATCCTACGAGTCACTATGTCACTTTTGTAACTCCAATTTTACAACTTAAACAAGCAGCAATAACAGCATTAGTGAAAGGAAGTACCTTGCATTAAAAGTGAATTTTTGCCAATGATTAAGCAAGCCTTTGTGTAAACGATTCCCCTATTAAAAGTAAAAGATACACCAAATTGTCAACAGAAATTTTGATTCAAAGAGTAATACAAATTGGAAAAAAAATGCAGATAATGTAATCAGCTGAATTTATGAACGCAACAGAACACATTGTGCACAAAGCTCTAAAACGGCTGTAGATACACGAAGGCCTCATTTGTTTGCACTTAATGGAAGTTTGAATCTTAATCATTCGGATCACAAATATTAAGTACGCTTGTTTTTTAAGTTTGAATCTTAATTAGTCAGATCTTAATCATTAAGTATTCTTTTTATATTTCCCAACCACTTAATAGGTCTGAATAGGTCTTATTGATCAAGATCTATAACAAAGACCTAATTTCACTAAGATGCTATCATCCACATTCACTACAAACCGCCGACACCGCCCACCATTATCACCTATACCACCATGCACCATCCAACCACCATCATACTCAACCGCCACTGAACTCAAACACCACCACTGACCACCACCGACCACCACCATCCTCGACCATAGCCGCCACTGCTATTATTATCGACTACTATCACCCCCAAACCCCACCATTATTGATTACCACCACCCACCACCCCATCATTATCAACTAATGCCACCACCATCATCCTCAACCAACCCACCCACCTCAACTACCATCATCAACCACCCAACCATCATCATCAACCATAGGCGCCATTTTCCACCATTATAAACTACCACCACCTATCACCACCTTCCTCAACCATAACTACCACTACCAATCACCACTAGCTCCTACCTAGAACCACCACATCAATCAAAACCACCACCAAGCATTGCCTCCAGTAGGCATTCATAAGTGCCACCGTCAGCCATCACCACCACCAACTACTATATTATTTTAAAAGATATTTATTAATAGAATATTAAATTAATTAGTATTTTATTTAAATTTTCTGTTTATCTATTGTTAAATAAGAAAAAATTTAATGCATTTCGATGTTGAAAAATAAATAGTCTTAATCATTTAGTATTCAAATATTAATACACATCTTAATATTCAGATGTGTATTCAGATTCAGACGTTTTAATCTTAATACACATCTTTATATCCAGATGTTCATTCATATTCAGATGTTTAATCGTTAAAAAAACAAATGAGGCCTAAATATTAACTTGTTCCTGACAATCCAAAAACAGTTATATAGGCGCATAGAGTAAATCTCTCCTTCTGTTTTAAAATGCATGTTGTCGGTTCAATTTATTTGGAGGTTCCATTGGATAGGAATTTTAGAGTCACAGGCTACAGGGTCATTTCAATAGATCCATGTACCTAGACCAACAAAGAAAACCAAATCCCCAAAAAATAAAACATTAACCAGCAGTATGGGGTCAGCTAGGATATAAGTATAAGCAGAAACAAGAACAGGATTATACCAATTCAGCCAGGAAAGCTTGTTTGTTAAGCCCTTCCAGCGCTGTGAATGCCAATTCAAGCACCCGCGAAAGGTACGCGACAACTCTGTAAAGGGAGAAGCCGTAAGAAATAGGAAATATCCTTCAGAATTAAAGAAGAACTTCAAGAGGTCCTGAGATGTAATACGAAGAAAGAGATAAGAAAATATATGAAAGGCCAATTCTATCCTATCAGAAACTTAGTACTTTGATGCATTCTTGATTTATTGAGAATGGCATGTTTTGATTTTTTGCAAGCCAGTAAACTAATAGGCAAGCTTAATATCCTTCCAAAGATCATATTATTATAGCTTCTCTATTCTACATGAGATAAGTAAAGTTTTAACTAGTTCAGACTTTGAACAAGCTTGTGTTGGCCGATGGTCAGGGGCAATGCCGTCATCAGGTGATCGATAATCTGTGGCTTTTTGTTCAGTTGAAAGTATGCGTTCCACCTGAGAACAGCCAAAGAAAGTGTAAGCAAATATCAAAGTACAACTCTGATTGTGATGGTACTGCTGAGGCCAATTCCCACATACAAAGCCTAGAACAACCCTAAAACCAGATAAAATGTTTTGAATCACAGACCTCTGCCATAACAGTTTCAATTCACTGCTGAAGCCCCTTATAAGCAGCACCCTCAGCACTTGACATAGCTGTAGCCATTTCTTCACAGGAAGCAGCATGCGCACCATCCACAGGTAGTAAAAGCCGAGATATAGAGTTCGCGAAATACTGAAGAAAAGAAGTTCAAAATGAACATTACAAGAGACAACACAAAAATGTGTTATTTCTCTAATCAAACAAGGATTTTCACAAGTCCACTAGCATCAAACCAACATACTTGCTGCACAATAGCCACACTGCTCCCACAACGTTGCACAGCAACCATGAAAGATCTGAAACTGCTTTCACCAGCCGCAGCTGCTGCTTCTGCCTAAATACCACAAATGATATACGTAAATCAGCCAAATCTATGAAAGTATAATCATCTACAATGTAAATTTACATGAACTTCAGATAGTAGTAAACAGAAATGCCAAAGTAATTACAGCAGAAGCGGCTGCAGCCAGCAGCTACCCTTCGACTAACGCTAGTTCCAAGCACAAATCTTTCCCTTAAAGCAGCAGCCTCGGTAAGGCTGTCTCTGGCTCTTTCAAGACCTTCAGTTATGTATATACTAACCTGAAAAAGTTTGAGTAATGATACCACACAAAAAATGAAAATACACCCAATCTCCCAGAAAACTTATATTGAATTACAATTTTTACCTTTCCCAAATATAATTCATTAAGTTACATACTCCGCATGCCAGATGAAAGTAATGTAAATACTGCGAGCAGAAACAAACTTCAAAATAGAAAGGTAATGAACTTACTTGATCTAGAAGGCATGTAAAAACAGCTCTTACATTTGCAGCAGGCTGTACAAACAGACCAACAATCAATTAGTTCAATCCTGTAAGGTCTGAAATGAATCAAGTTAGATCAATATCAATCTCTTAGGACAAGGTGCTGTTTGAAGACTCTAACATGACCAATAAACTTGTCAGAAGAACGTCCACATTGCCTTTTGCAGACAAAGAACATGACATCTTCAAAAGGACATTAAAAATAAGCATCAACTTTCTAATTTTTGCTGTGGATAACTAGCATACACATTTTCAGGAAGAATTGCCTTTGCTCGCTAAATAATTTAGTTTGTTCTAACGGAAGACAAAGCTACATGCACAAAGAAATTAATGAAGTTCAGAATAATACAGATGAAGTTAGCATGCCAATCTTTTTTACATCACAGTTTGCCGAAATATATGGATAGCCAGAATGAAATCCTTGCAACAATAAGTGCAAGAAACAAACAAAAAAAGAAACAACTAAATTCTATCCTTGACAATCCAAAATTTGAAAAATCTAGTTGAGTGACCTTCTGAGTGCAATGGTCATAGTTCAGTAACTTTGTTGTTACAAACGAAAAGAAAAGTGACTTTAGGAGATAATTAGGGATAGTTGAGTGACCATTTGAGTAATGGACTCTTAAAAGTTACTACAACTAAAACATAAGTTAAAGCGAACTCTAGAATATCCTTTCCTTCATCATTTCCCGTACAATATACTTTTTCAAAACTATAACTATCTCTTCCCACATGACCATTTTGATCTCCCTAATACGGATCTGTTTGTCTCTTGTGAAGCATATGGCACTGGTGACATTGATCGTCTCATTCTCGTACAAGTTCTATTGAGTTAATCCCCCAACTTGCTTTACTTCTACATCGTTATCCTTAATTCAATTTGTGATAGGCGTCATATTTTTTTTTCCAGAAAGGACTTTACTGTCGTATGCCATGTGCTCCAAACTTGAACTCAACTTCCTTTTTTCTCCAACATCTGCCTTTCACTCAGGGGGTGTTTGGACCTTTTGCCTGCTCAGAAGTGGATTCAAACTACCGAAGCAAGGATGCCATTCTTTCCCCATTAGACTTGTCATCCTTTGCTATTTCAACATATTGTACGCACTAGTCTCGTAGCCATCTCTTCTAACATAACCTTTTGGCATCTTCTTTTATGCTTCCCTCAAACGCCATTGTGAGATTGAGTATTCTTATTTCATGCTATAATGATTTTGAATTTGTTGACTGTATTTTTCATGTTGTTGATGCTACTTTACCTTTTTGCTACAACACAATTTAATTTTTACTTCATATTCTTCTCTTTGTACCTAACTTTCCACACACCTCTAGGTTCCAACTCAAACTTTAGAGCTTAGAGGTGCACGATCCTATTTTCAGAATTCATTGTGTTTGGAGTAAATAGTTTTCCCGGAAATTGGTTTTACATGTTGGAAAAATATTGGATGATTACGGAGATTAGAAGGTTTAGCTTGAGGCGTGTCAAACACACTGTCCTTAAGGATATTTCGCCTACACCGCAATATAAAATTAGGCGTATCCCCAGGATTCAACAAGCTCTTCTAATACAAACTAGGAGCAGAAACAACAAAGATTAATCAAAATAAACCCAGCAATTGAAGAAAATAGAAAGAAAGCTTTTATTTTTTTCTTCACACCCTTTTTAAGATGTAAAACAAAGTAGTATAAATAGTGCAAAAGAAATGCACAATCTCATATGAAAATTGTCCAAGCCATAAAGGCATTTCAAAGCATACAAAAAACGTTAAAGTCCAAAGCCATTAAGGCTATAAATGGTCAATTATTCTTTTAACAGTAACGTTCAAATTACCCACTAATGAGCATTCAATAATCAGATTTATTTTGTTCCAATTGCATTCAAAATTAAACTAATTTTCTATTACAAATATATTTAAGATAATTGCTATAATAATTACTCATTAATATAATTGTAAGAAAATGAATCTAGACATAGTTTTGGAATATTTTTTTTTGAAATATCAAAAGTATATTTCCATCATTACATCATGCAATTCCGGATGATAGAACCTTCTTCTTCCTCCTCCTCCTCCTCCTCCTCCTCCTCCTTTTTATTTGTTTATTTTATTATTTTTTTCTTCTGCGACTCTGATGTTCCTGGCAGTGGATATTACTAGGAGAATGTATCAGCTTTAGGGTCGTATCACCACCACCAATTTGATCAATCAATTAAGATTAAACCCTTAATTAGTTGAGTTTGTTATGTGAACCATGTTCTGCTCTATTTAGTTGCTCTTTCTCACCCCAGCGCAATGTGATGGAAATCCTTGTTAGTGTTAGAAAAATATTGAATGATTATGGAGAATAGAAGGTTTAGCGCGTGTCAAAGACACTGTCCTTAAGGATATTTCGCCCACACCATGATGAATAAAATTAGGCGTATCCCGCAGGATTCAGCAAGCTCTTCTAGTATAAACTAGGAGCAGAAACAACAAAGATTAATCAAAGACAACCCAACACAATAAAAAGAAATTGAGAAGAAAAGTGTTTGCCTTTTCAACTCTTCAGACCTTTTTAAAAATGAACACAATATATTTCTATTATATAGAAGAGAGAAGAGGAGGTCGACCAAGGGCATTGTATGGGTCAGAATCCGACCCCATGATAATTAACGAGGCTAATCCCATCTTAAGCTAATTCATGATTAATTAGTGGCACGACCACTCAGAATTAACGATATTCAACCCCGCATCTGGTTCGATCAGCAAGGCCATGGCCTATCCGCCACCATGAAGGCGAAATCCCAACGTGGTCACGGCCACTTATTGCCAGCTCACGAAGCTCACAGTTATAAATACCAAGAGAGGAAACCCTAGAAAGGGGGGCTTCTTCTGGGCCACGATTGAGAGAGAAAAAAGAGACAACGATACCCAAATTATGGGCAAAAGGAACACCATTGTGAGGCTCTGAACCTCTTCATGGAGAGGCAGACCAAACCAATATTATCAATAAAGGCTTCTAATGTTTCTCCCCCTAATCCTGAGTACTGATTTTCATTTCCTTCATTTGGTCCAATGGACTATTACGGTTTGCTATGATTTTTCCGTGATTTATTTATATTGTTTTATACTCATAAGGTATGCAATAACTTTTGAGTCAAACAATTTGGCGCCGTCTGTGGGGATTTCCTAGCAAAATCGCGTAGTTCTTCCCTGGACCAAAAGGAAAGAAACGCCAAGCTTGAGGAGGAACTCGAAGATCTCAAATCAAGATCTAAGTCCTCTCTCTCTCTCTCCGATCTCAGATAGTGCAAACAAGAAGAAGAAGCGCCCCCCCTCTTCCTAAGGGAAGGTCTCTGTAAGGTATACGAGCTCCGGTCAGAAACCGACACGGAGATATCTCGAGCCGAGAGTCGCCTCAAGACAGCCTATATACCCTGGTTGGGAAGACAATGGATAAGCCGCTCAAGGTCTCGAATCCAAAACGAGTTTTAGCACTCAATACCCACAATATGAGACTCAGGCTATGTGCCTTCGTCATCAAGATCAACAAAGTTCAACAACAGTTGAACTGGGACTCAGGCAATGCGCCTTCGCCAGTAAGTTCAACTACGGTTGAACCATGACTCAGGCTATGTGCCTTCGTCATCAAAATTGACAAAGTTCAACAACAGTTGAACTGGGACTCAGGCTACGCGCCTTCGCCATCAAAATCAACCAAGTTCAGCAACAGTTGAACTGGGACTCAGGCTACGCGCCTTCGCCATCAAAATCAACCAAGTTCAACAACAGTTGAACTAGGACTCAGGCTATGCGCCTTCGCCAGTAAGTTCAACTACGGTTGAACCATGACTCAGGCTATGTGCCTTCGTCATCAAAATTGACAAAGTTCAACAACAGTTGAACTGGGACTCAGGCTACGCGCCTTCGCCATCAAAATCAACCAAGTTCAACAACAGCTGAACTGGGACTCAGGCTATGCGCCTTCGCCATCAGAATCAACCAAGTTCAACAACAGTTGAACTGGGACTCAGGCTATGCGCCTTCGCCAGTAAGTTCAACTACGGTTGAACCATGACTCAGGCTATGTGCCTTCGTCATCAAAATTGACAAAGTTCAAACACGGTTGAACTATGACTCAGGCCACGCGCCTTCGCCATCAAAATCAACCAAGTTCAACAACAGTTGAACTAGGACTCAGGCTATGCGCCTTCACCAGTAAGTTCAACTACGATTGAACCATGACTCAGGCTATGCGCCTTCGTCATCAAAATTGACAAAGTTCAACAACAGTTGAACTGGGACTCAGGCTACGCGCCTTCGCCA